CCACAAGGATAGGCACGCATCGATTAGGCCGCGTTCATAGTTCGTAACTTGAGAGATCAGGCTAGGCGATAGGGTATAAGCAGAATAGTAGAGTAGGATATTGCTATTAATGGTATCGATTTGAATCGTTGAAGAAGTGGAATAGCCATGTCAAGCGAATCGATCACTAGTATCCAATCTTGTCGGCGCACTATTCTACTCTCCTACTATCCTAATCTACTACTATCCTAATCTCCCCGTCAATACATATTTTTTCATTGTCGCGTGCTATCCTATCTCCGGAGCCGCGAACTATGAACGCAGCATTGAGCAGTTAGTCGAGCTTCGATTTTGCGATTGCGAAAAACATTCAGGGGGCAGAGGGAGCCAAATCGATACGATGGCAATAATACGCTCATCTTGCCTGTCGCATTTCTTCGGTTACAAGGCTTCTGTCAACCAAAGGGTGAGAGCGTAGCTGGAAAAGCACACACTTTGTGTCTTATTGGGACTAAGCCTTTTGAAGGAGATAAAGAAAGAGGAGATGCTGTGATAGTGAGAGCTCCCAGACATCACTACAAAACGCTGAACCGCCAAGGCTCACGGTTGACAGATGTCCTGAGACCCCATTTCACCTACTCGTCTGAAGACTATCTAAGCCCCTTTGTCATCTTTTCTCAGCCGGCACTCATTACCAGAAGGAATTTGATTCTATGCGCATCCAGTCGATCCTTTGTATGGTACAGGTGGGCTCCACCTAGGGACCAACGCTTCTGATAGCTCGTCCGCTCGACATTTGCTATGCACGGTATCGTATCCGAACCCCGAAATGCGTCTCTACTTCGGTCAGTGACGCAGTACTCATGGTCAAAAACAAGGGATGCCTCCAAATATGCAGAGTTTTGGGACTCATCATCGGCCGAGGTTTGCTACCTCCTGCCCTTGAGTTCTGGTGTCGTCGGGGTAGAGGGATGACTTCGTTATGCGGAGAGCCCACGCAGCCAACACTTAGCTCCCCAGTCCCCCTCAGGCCTAAACCTAGGGAGGGAGAAGAGGGGTGTGTAAGCAATTTTCGCCAAAGTTCCTCCCCTTCTCCTAGGCTAGGCGTCCAACGGTGTCTCCTCCCTCCGCGACTACACAAGCGCCGAAATTTGCTGTATTCTGTGACTCTGTGTTCAGCCCTGTCAGCAGCTGTAAAGCTGCCCCTTAGCTATTGGCACGAGGTAGGGAGGACTTCTCTGCTTGGGAAAGCCTAAATACTATTGCAGGGACGATGAACTCTGTAGCACTTTGCCATCCCAGCGCTACTGATCGGTAGTCCTTACTTCAATTCAGCCTCAAGGTGGGAAGTAGCAGCGATTCCGTGAAATATCTCTTTGGGTCGAGTTGAGGGTAACCACCAGCCTTTCACCAGCGTTAGATGAGCTGTGTTTATGTTTCGAACGATGGATCATTATCACAAGAATAACACAAACACCTCATTAGCATACGATTCGAGGCTATAATAAGAGTCAAGTGGGGTGAAGTCAGACAGTAGCAAGAATGGCCTCAGTTCCTCCTGGCGACATCAACACTCAGCCTAACGCGAAGATCGTCTTCAACGCGCCGTACGACGACAAGCACACCTACCACATCAAGATCATCAACGCTTCCGGCCGACGTATTGGATGGGCCATCAAGACGACCAACATGAAGAGACTTGGTGTGGATCCTGCCTGCGGTGTGCTCGACCCCAAGGAAGCCACCCTTATGGCTGTGTCCTGTGATGTGTTCGACTACGGACGTGAGGTGAGATCAGCCCAGTCTATCCAGCTGTTTGCGAAGCGGCGTGAATCCTTCTTTTCAGGACACCAACAACGACCGTATTACCGTCGAATGGTGCAACACCCCTGACGGAGCTGCCAAGCAATTCCGTCGTGAATGGTTCCAAGGAGATGGTATGGTCCGAAGAAAGAACCTCCCCATCGAATACAATCCTTGAGGACGTGTATTTAATAAATTGGTTACGTATAGCTTTCGGTATGATGTGGAAACACAAATAAACGAAATGCTATAGTTTGGTGTCGGATTCCAGCAGAAAATGGTCTCGAACACACCGTTTATCGTGTGCAACTCTACTACAGGAAACCTTAGGTTCTAGGTTCATGCAAAGATTGTGGCGGAGGATGGGCTCTGCCATATTCCTAGAGGCAGGGTGGATGCTGACGTGAAGCCGTAAAACTGTCCATGGCCTACACGGAATCTCTGGCTTTGTGGTTGGTAACGGTGAGCGGACGTATGAGCTTTACTTATACGAGATATACTCGAGATCCGTAAGTTGGGGTAGGCGTGTCACCGGAAGTGACGTGTACTTGATAGAATCTATGTGGATAAGGGGCTTCCAATATACATCGCGAGATATCAGCAAAGCATGCTGGCAACGACTTATCTACGCAACTTCTATCAAGTCCACGTCACTTCCGGTGACACGCCTACCCCAACTTTCGGATCTCGACTGTAATGCCTCAAGGGTTAAAATCTGTCCATCATGAGGTTACCTACGATCCCGAAGGTGAGAAAGGTTGGCGGTTTCGGCCAATTCGAGAAGATTCATAATCAAGAAGTATGTAACAGTTGCGGAAATGTAACACAAGTGGCAGGCACGACGTGCCCAGTAAACTTTGAAACCACTTGTTTTTCTGTTGGAATAGCTCGCTGTTTTACGCCAGCACTCGCGTTTAGAAAGTTATCCAACGAGATCAGCCATATAGCTGCGAATAACTGGGGTATCTTTACCACCGAACTGAGTGGGCTGAAATGGTGCCGCGGATGACTGCAACTGGGTAGCACGAATTGTCCGAAAGGAGCAGAGCCGGTGTGCGACGGCCCGGCTAAAGCCGAAAGTTTTGCCCACAAATGAGCATTCTTGTGATAACTGCTTACAGTGTTTTCTTCGCTGCTAATAGGCGTGCGTATGGGCAGGGCGGAGTGTGTGAAGCTCAGCACCGCAGATGAGTGACTAATGGATTGTTCAGAGTTGGCGATCGTACGTGCGATTAGTCGATTAGGTGATTGGGCGATTAGTCTATAATGAAAAATATACGTATAGATTAGGCGAGTAGGCGATTAGGCGGGAGGGACAACAATGCGTATGTGATTGGATTTGCTTACCACATAGAACGTTGGTAGTGCAGAGTGGGAGTATTCATAGGCAAAGACCAGGTCGGTACACACTTCGAATACGTCTATACTTTTGACATTTTTAAATCATTGTTCCTAAGTCTGCCTAATTCGCCTAATAGCACGTTACATCGCCAACTATAAACGCTCGATAAGCAGATATTGACGTACTGTCAGTTCGAAGCTAAGAAGGTACAGCGATCGCAACAAGAACGGAAAGCGGGAGGGGGGCAGCATAGGCTTCGTCTGTAACGCATCGTAAAACTGCGGCGGCCAGGCCAATTTTGGTCAGCCTTCAGGACGCAACCAGACCTACCGGCTTCGAGATTGTGCCCGGCGCTTTTTAAGAAGAAGGTTTTTGCATGATGTAAGGCAAGTTGCATGGGAACCAGACCATGCTTCAATTGCGTCTTAACCGGCCCTACGAATGTCCGCAATGTGTTAAAAGGGTCTCATCCAGTAAGGGGGCATCAAGTGGCTGCCCTCACCCCCACCCCCTAGACTGCCTACACTCCCCCTGGCGCACAGGTTTCTCGAAGTACGGGACCCCGTGAGCCAGGGGGAGTGAAGGCAGTCTAGGGGGTGGGGGGTGAGGGCAGCCACTTGACGTTGCATCACAATGCCCCCCCCCCTTACTGGATGAGACCCTAAAAAAAGCTCAAGCGCCACACCTTTTTACGTCAGTTTTTGGCGAAAACCTACACATGTGGTCAACTAATGATATTGAGGGTCAAACTGCACCCATTCTCAGCCATGGATACCGTTTTATGACATCACGAAAGTGTCAATCGAAAATGCAAAACTTTGTCACCGCGGGGGATCGAACCATGAACCAAACTTTCAACCCTTTTGCAGTTTAGAGGGTTGTTCACGAAAAATGAAGCATAATTCTATTCCATGCACGTGTCACTACGCCATAAAATCCTGGAAAAATTGGGCTACAACCTGAAACATCTTTCCGGTTAGGGGCGGCGGAGAGATCCAATATTTTCCCCCAGTCCTTTCTAAGCTTACAATTAGTCATGAAAATGGCCCATCCTCACCATCTCGAAGCGCCCAAGAAACTTTACGACCTCAAAGCAGGTACTTGTTTACAGTACTTGTGTTTGTTTGTATCGGGTACACTGGAGGCGGGCCCTTCGCACGCTCTGGGTTTGGTGGCTGTGGAAAATGCCACTTATCTTTGCATCCATTCAAATTTGAGTTCTGGGAAAGAAATTGCTGATTGAAAACTTCCCAAATGTCTATATCCACCAGAGTCTTCCAAAACTTTTGCGTCCACGTCCAAGCGGAAGCCGAAGCTAAAAGCGTTCTCGACCCTTGGACGTATCGTGAACCTTCAAACCGTCCCCTTCATACATTATACGAAGTTATACGAATCATAGATGCGTAAAATCAATGAACATTCTGGGGTACAGCCGCTAATAGTATGATAAGAAGTGCAAAGGAATTCCTGAAAGGAGCAATGAGAGCTATCAAAAAATGATCTCTTCAAAAACAATGAAAACATTTGAAAATGCTGTTGTTGAACACTAAAGAAAACAACTGGTCAATATGCATTGGTATAAAAGCGGCAGGTGGGGTGAGTGGGTTTCAGTCGAACCAGAATGGCCAGCGTTCCTCCTGGCGATATCAACACTCAGCCCAACTCGAAGATCGTCTTCAACGCGCCGTACGACGACAAGCACACCTACCACATCAAGATCATCAACGCTTCCGGCCGTCGTATTGGATGGGCCATCAAGACCACCAACATGAGAGACTTGGTGTGGATCCTGCCTGTGGTGTGCTCGACCCCAAGGAGGCCACCCTTATGGCTGTCTCCTGTGATGTGTTCGACTACGGACGTGAGGTGAGATCAGCCTAGCCCAGCCAGCTGCTAGCAAACCCGAGAATCCTTCTTTTCAGGACACCAACAACGACCGTATTACCGTCGAATGGTGCAACACTCCTGACGGAGCTGCCAAGCAATTCCGTCGTGAATGGTTCCAAGGTGATGGTATGGTCCGAAGAAAGAACCTCCCTATCGAGTACAATCCTTGAAGGCGCGTATTTAATAAATTAGTTTGGCACAGTGTCTGGTGTTGTGTTGTGATTGATGGCCGAATCTGGTCATAGACTGGGTTTGTTAGCTGGAACTTGGCTTTCATGATTATTGAGCGGTATAGGGCCGGACATTGTTAATGACCAACATCAAATCGTCGCTGCAATCGCGCAGGAGCGCAAAAAAGGCCCCGCTAATTTGTCTGAATTGGGTTTGACAAAGCGCTTTGCAAAAACTAGGATTAGTCGCATTTATGGCTATTCTTCACGTTGATGACAGTTTAGGAGAAACGGTGCTATTTAAAAACGATTTACGGCTCGAATGAATGCAGACAGCCAACTGCTCCCAGTGGGTCATGAACAAATTGAGGCATAAATTCTGCACACTTCGAAAAACTCGAAACACCTGTAGAAGAAAAAGATCCCAAGGACGAAATTCACGATGAAATGGCAGGCTAATCGATGTAGGGGTGGTCAACGGTGCAAAAATGGAAAAAAAATGAGAAACGGCTCAGAAACTCGGGAAATGGAATCTCTTCTATGCTGGTTGATTTCCGCACTGATGCTACCCTTCATCATTGCTGCCCTCGAACGCTAACTATCTTCTCTGCTAAATGGTTAAAGACCTGCGGCAGGTAGTTAGCGTGACGGTAGGCGTGCCGTGTTGATAGCGCAGCGGGTAGGGCCATGCTAGACTGCCGGGGTAAATCCTTTTTTCGCCACGTAACATCCGAGTGTTAGCGCCCTTCCATCCACTGTGCCCTCCTACCTACTATTCTCGCTCAGTTTCTCATTGCATTAGCGCAGCCAAATTGCAAAACCAAGCGAGCCCTTAGTTCTAGCGTTTAGACTCTTCTTTTTCTTCACCGCTCAGGCCACCCATCTTTCTGCTCTCGTTTTTGGTGCATTACTCACACCAGCTTAATCTTTTGGTGTTCCTTTGAGAGGTATAAGAGTGTGGTGGAGCTCGTCGCTGACAGCGGTAAGTGCCCTTGATGATGTTATTCTACCTTCAGACTACAACCTATCAGACCTTTTCCTGCATTTGAAAGTGCTTAACGCACTACCCGCAAGAGACATCCCCTGTGCTTTTAGCACGGAGCCTGGAACTCCGGTTTTCTCTGCCATCATGAAATTAAGGGATGTTCCACGTCGTCTCAAGTGCATGTTACCTCAGAACCCTACATTGTGTTAGCACCGGTGCTTAATCTAGAAGCTCGCTTGCTTCTCTGGAAAGCAGAAGATTTGAATCAATTATCATTGGGATGCGCGACGCAATCGACTTCCATTTGTGTTAGGAGCAACTTTTCCTTTTATCTGATTTACACAGCGATTTGTGAAAAGTAGAAGAGATGATAGTTAATTTAAAAGTCAAGGTTTTCCTATGCATTTGCTTCTTCATGTCAATTTTCAAAGCGAGGCATCACGATCAAACTGGAATAGGTTAATAGTAAAATCTGAAAGCTGAATAATGCACTGGAAGCAGAGAAAGAACAAACGAATTCGTCAGGAACGCGCAAAATGGGAATGGACCCTTCTTACTCGTTGATCTCTGAGAATGGGCGAGCTAGCAGTCAACATTTGCACGCGGTTAACACCTTGACGACAGCGCGGCAACTAGGTTTGCCGCGTTTTGCACGCCGCAATGGACATTGTGGCAACTATAGTTGCCACACCCTTTACATTCAGTTTTTTCTTGAACGCGCCATTTCTTCCCAGGTTTTTTGTGTTCATTTTTTAGGCCATACCACAACATAACCAAGAACCACGCGGCTTATAGAATGACCAAATATTCTTTAGTTTGGCAGAGGTTTTTCGGACCGGACGAAAATATCCGTTCAGTTCATTCCTCATTTTCTCTTCATTAACACGAACATGTAGATAAAAAAGAATATTAGAAGTGAGTACAAAGCTACTCGTGTGGCAAGATATGTGTTTTTACCGAAACAACCACGTCCAAAATAATTTTGAAATCACTAAAGCAAAAGTAAGTGAAACTTGCCTTTTCAATGCTGTAACACATCATTCGACCGCACTTTCACATGTGTACCTTCCAATAAGTTTGACACACCGAATATCAGTGAAAACATTTTGTCGCATCGAAGTATTGCGTATTTAAAGCTCAAAATCCACAGATTTGTTGTGAGGCGGCGGCGCTCGCAGAACCGCTCTGGTCCCACGCGGCCAAAAATGCCAAAACGCGCGATGTCGTCAACGTGTTAACCACTGCCCAGGTCGTACACCGGTAAACTTACCATGCTTGATTGATACGCATTTCAAGAGGTGAAAGTAAATAGGACTCGCGGTCAAATGCGAAATTACCTTAATTCCAAATGCTTAGTCGACAATAATGCTACTCCAGCACGTCGTGGGCGGAAGCCAGATCATAGGCGAGCCGCTCAGCTTCCGAAAGCGACTGCAGCGCCAGGCGCTGCAGCAGGGTCAACCGTCACGTTGGACCGACATTGGACCGACGTTGGACCGACGTTGACCGCTCTCCGCGCCGGCATTCGCACTCGCCTTGCGCGAGCCGTCTGTGTCTCCGTGCGTACGTTCACTCTCGGCATTACTCTCACACGCTAGAGAGCCATGCGTTGGACTTTGTCCAACGGACGGTTGACCCTGGCTGCAACTGGCGCGCTTATGGCCACGAAAGGCCCCATCTCGATACCTTCGGCCCCTGAATACTGGTTCCACGGTGAATAAACTTCCATGCTGCACACACACACTCATCGTAAACACTAGCAACACTTCAACCAAGCATTCAACCCTGGAGGGTCAGGAGGCTTGACTGACTCTGAAAAAACTTGATCTATGCCCGCTCCCTGGATTTGTGGGCGGTGGAGGACATCATAATAATTTCTCATTAGAGCAAAAAGTCTTTTTGAACGAGTGCTCAAAACAGAATCGAGGCAGAAGCACGCATGCGTGGCGTAGCCCATTCGGACAACTTCGGGTGAAAACAAAATTGATTTTTATTCTTATACATCATGTTATGATAATCAAAGGTGCGGGAATTCAATGCACAGAAAAAAGGCAATAACTTAATTTAAATATCTTTATCAACTCTCGACAAAATGTACAGGTATATAGTATCTGAATAGAGACACCGGTATTTCTCAATGGAGCCTCCGATGCCGGAACGGAGACTGCGACGGACGGTCAATACATCCGAGTGAACGGACCGGGAACGAATAGGAGGATTGGGTAAGGAGACGTGGGGAGTTACGAGAGCACCAAACGCAACGCATAAAACGGCGACGACGCAACGACATGTCGCAACGATGACGACGGTGGCAACGATGATAAATAGGCTATTCACACTACTCTACACAGAGAAAAAATAGCAACAAAAAAAGGAGAAGGGTCATAAAAATGATGGGGTGATGATGAAAGATCTGAGGTGAGCTTATGCTATTCGCGCAGTGGGTCACTTAAAACACTTATGTGACCCTTAACACAGGCACATCAACGTGGGTCTGGTCGGTTGACTGGCTACGACTAGAACTCTAGAGCCGTATCGGTCTGTTTAATCCTCCCAGGTGAGCGAATGACGATTTTCGATACGTAGCTGGCAGTTCCTCTTGCCATACCAGTTCACATAGGCGAATTCAGCGTCGGACACAATCGCGTTGAAACGTCCACCGAACTTTGCCGCAGCGTCGCTCTCGATCTTACGAGCTGCCTCGAGGTTATCCTGAAAATAGCCGATTTGATTTCAAGAACTGGGCGTGGTCAACGAAGTATAAAGCATCCGCCGTTGATCAATCCCTTTTTGGGATGCGGCACGCATTCTACTTCCATTTGTACATTCGTAGTGGCGTTTGAATGCGATGTGGCCTATACAATGACTTGCGGGGCCAGCCGATGTACAAGTCAGTGTTTTTATCCTCCCAGACAAGTCTGGTACCAATTAACCGACCCCGGAGGGATGGAAGGCTTGGTTGGCCCGGGCGACTCACGACCCAGGATTTGATCCCGGACCGCTCGCGTGGTGAAGCACATTTCCTCCCAGGGGGAGTCGAGACTGCGAAAAGGGGCGCCGAAACGCATGCATGCTCCGAGCAATGAATCCAGCCCGGTCCAACCGAGCCCTGCTTCATTAGGAGACTAATTAGTCGATGAGGGTGACGGTGGAAGGTCTAAAGCGACTGCGAATCCGGCGGCTTGCTTTTTTTGGAATTCACAACTGATGGATGAAAGGGGTCTTCAGGGCCCAATTTTCTTCAAAATTATCCATTTCCCAGGGAAGGTGCTAGTCGAGACCACTGCGTTGCTCGGAAATCGGAAATCGGAACACTAGTATTTTTCCATATTTCTTTTCTCTTTTTTTTCCATCAGTTTTTCACCTCTGGGAATCCGATGCCTTTACAGGTTTTCCTGGGAGACCATGCAGAGCACCACATGCATTGTGGCATCAGAGACCTTTTTCAAAGTTGGAAATGGGACTTGGAAACCTGGAGCGGAATGAGGCGGGTTAGCTAATAGGGCAAGTCACATTTTGCGGAAAACGGAAATCGGAATCCGAAAACCTTGTGGAATTGAAAACTATATTGTCGTTATTTTACCTTTTCGGTTGAAAGCGCTCCTTCAACGATAGCCTTCAACTCCGGATCATCACAATTGCCCTCGTCACCGGCTTCGTTACCGTAGTCAACGTCATTTGTAGATGAAGGTGAAGAGTTCTGCGAATAGAAATTCAATTAATCGATGAATTGCTCAACGATTGGGGGGAGGGGGAGGTGGGCTATGTCTCACCATGATCGAATGAGCGGTGTCAACGGTCTGCTGCTCTTCGATGATGTCGTCATAGCTGGACTCCTCTGCAAAGGGTAAGGTGAAGGTGCAGAGGTAAACAGTTACTCAAACTCACGCGGTATGGGGAACGAACCTTTAGGCGCTTCAGTTCCAACAGCAACTTGTGCTGGTTGGGAACTTTCTGTAACTACTGGAGCGGGTTGCTGCTCGCTGGCCGATTCGACGTTGGACACCGGAGCTTCAACTGGTGTTGAATCGACCGAAGTTGCAGGCGCGAATGTCTGAAAGAACAGAATTGACTCTCGTAGCCCGAAGGGGAGATCAGCTAAAGTACCTCTGAAGTCGACACCGTTTCGACTTCCGCTTGCTGTTGGGCTTCGACGGGAACTTGTTGATAAGTAGCTCCTCCTGATGGACCAGGTTGTGGGAACGTTGGCTGTGGAGCTATCGGGGCAATTGGAGCTGAGGGTCCCTCTTGGTAGGTACCGCCACCACCTCCACCTGCTCCTCCTGTGAATCCTCCAGCTGCTTGACTGGCTCCTTCAAAGCCACCGGCTGCTGCTGGTGCAGTGTAGCCTCCACCTCCTCCACCGGATACTCCGCCGAATCCGCCTCCACCTCCACCGCCAGAGTAAGATCCAGCTCCTCCGCTTGGTCCTCCACCAAAGCCTCCTAGGCCACCTCCGCCTCCGAGTCCTCCTCCACCTTGATAGCCACCCACTCCAACTGATGGACCTTGGTAGCCGCCACCTCCACCTCCTGGTGCACTGTAGGCTCCGCCACCTCCTCCAAGTCCTCCGAGTCCTCCGAGACCTGCACCACCGGCATAGCTTCCACCTCCGCCGCCTGGTCCTCCACCGCCTAGGCCACCACCTCCACCGAGGGGTGAGGCGTAAGGTCCACCAGCTCCGACTGGTCCCTAAAATGAAAATAGTCAATCACAACCAGTAAAAACGATCATTGTAAGAGCATCATACTCACTCCATATGAGGGTGGCGGTGG